TGGTATTCTTTTTTATTTTTTGTACCAGGGATCAAACTCTGGACCTTGAGCAGGCTAAGCAGGCATTTATGCCACTGAGCTATATCTCCTGCCCTCGAGTTTATTTTTTAATCTACTCTGCCAATCTATTTTGTTTAATTGGTGGATTAATCATTTTATATTGGTAGTTGCAATTGATGTATATGAGCTTATGTTTTCATGTTAATTTTCTGTTGTTGGTGCCCTACTTTTCTCCTGTGTTTAACTATTTTCTCTGCTTGGTGGGTTCTTTCTGTTGTGATTCTTGGAATTCTGGGTATTTGATCCCTTGTTAGCATGTATTTTAGTGCTGTGTGTAGGGTGAGTTTGGTTGTCAAAAATTTCTTGAATTTTTCTTTGTCTTGGAAGTATTTTATTTCTGCATTAAACTTGAAAGTGAGTTTTTCAGGGTATATCAGTCTGTTTGTAATTTGTTTCATTGTAGGACTTGAAGTGGTTTGTGTTGATGCCTTGTGTTAAGAAATCTGCTATGTGTGTGATGCATTTTCCTTTAAATATGGTCTGTGTCTTTTCTCTAGCAGCTTTTATATTTTATTTTTATTTTTAAAACATAATAAGGATAATGAAACAGCAAAAGTTGCATTTGATACAGTATTACACTTAAAGAAATATCAGTTTTACACTATTTGTTCTAATACATAATATTGTCTTCCAAGAAGTTCTTGATTTTGCCAGATATGTGCATGTAAAAGTAGAGAAGAAAGAAAAAAAAAAGAAATATGTAAGAGATCAAGAAGGGAAAAATACAAACATTTGAAAAATGCACACTATCATTATCCAAAGCATTCTGCTTGTATACATAGATAAATCTCTTTCTCCACCACACCCTCCTGTCTGTTGTATGTTATGAATCGCTGCTGCCGAAAGAAATGAGGGGACTACCCGATGAAGATAGTTTCAGAGGTCTCACTGAGCTTATTCTCTCTGTAAGGGAGCCCAGAGACTCCAAAACACATCACTTTTATTGAGGGCTCAAGGCAGGCTAATGAATGTGCATAACTACTTTGGTGAACACAAACTACTTTCTCTATTGACTCCCGCCATTTGCCTAGCAATAAGTTTACACAAATGCTAGCTGATAACATTTGAAGCAAGGGATCAAAGAACAGACAGGGTACCATCAGGAGAAGTTGTTATCTGTAGCCTTGAATCCCAGCTTGCCGGAATTTACAAGTGAGAGGCGACAGTTCTCCTTGGGCTCTGTCTATTGCTTCTTGTTCCCTTGGGACATTAGGCTTTTGTCTCCTATCTACATTTCTATAACTGTCCTTCTCCTCAACTCAGTAACTCTTTCCTTTTGAATAAGTTCATCCAATTTTCCCAGGTTCTATTATACCCTTCAGGTTCTATTTTCTCTTTCATATTCTCACACTAATAAGACATTATAATATTTGCACATACGGGTCTGATTTATTTCACTTAAAAGTATGTTCTATATTTGCATGTGCTAACTTATCAAAGTCTGAAACTTATCCCGTTTTATAGCTGAATAATACTCCATTGTGTAAAATTTCAAAATCTTCTTTATCCATTATTCAGTTGATGGGCATCTGGGTTGTTTCCAGGAAGGAGAATATATATTTACATTCCTTATCTCTTCCTCTTGAAGTGGTCACTTAAAAAGTATATACTGACCTTCTTTTTCTCTTTGGATGATTTTTGGTTTGAAATGGATATTGTTCCAACCAGGATAGCTACCCCTGATTTTTTATGATTTCCTGTGTAATGGAGAATTGTTTACTATCTTTTGATTTTTAGTCTTTTAATTTCCTTTGGAGTTAATGTGTGTCTTCTACATGGCATATTTTTGGATTTTGTTTCTTAATCCTCTCTGTTAGTCTGTTTCTCTTGATTGGTGAATTAAGTCCATTCACATTGATGGTTATAACTGATATGTGTTGGTCTCTCTTTGTCTGTTCCTTTCCCTTCTATAGGTTAAATACTTTTTTCCCTGCTCTTTAATTACTTTATGTATTTTTTGGTCCTTTCTGTTGTTCTTAAAGCTGTGATCACTTCTGTACCATTCTGGAATACCTGTCAGTGTGCTTTGTAGGGTTGATTTATGGGGGCATGAATTTCTTCAATTGTTCTTTGTCGTTAAAAGATCATATTCCACCATTGAATTTGATAGTTGTTCAGGGTACATTCGTCTGGATTGGAAGTTATTACTTTTTCAGGGCTTAAAATATTCTACTCCAAGCTCTGTTTGATTTGAGAAATTTTCTGTGATTCTGATGGGTTTTGTATTGTAGGTGATCTGTTTGTTCTCTTTGGCAGTTTTTCATATTCTGTTATTGCTGAAAATCTGAGATCTTGATTATTATGTGTCTACGTTTAGATTTACTGTAATTATGTCTCTGTGTAGTTCTATATGCCTTGCTTACCTGTCTTTCAGGTTCTTTTCTCATGTTTGGAAAATTTTTTGCTATTACTTTTGCAAAGTGTTCTTATGTCATTTCTGCTATGTCCTGCTGCTTCATTAACACCTATTATTCTTATATCATTTTTCTTTGCGTCATCTTATAGATGATGAATTGTTATTTCCTGGTTCCTTGTTAGTTTTATGAAGTCTTTTCTTTCATGTTCAAGACCTACACCACTTCCGTCAAGGTCTGAGAGTCTATCTTTGGATTCATTCAAGAGGTTTTGCCACCTTTCAATGGAGCTTTTAATTTCCCAGGTAACTCTTTGAATCTGTTTCACGAATACCAGTACTTTTCTATTGTTCATTCAGTGTTTCCATCAGTTTTTTTTATTTTGGTGGTACACAGGATCAAACTCAGGACTTTGAATTTGTCACACAAACACTTATTCCACCGAGCTATCTCCCCCACCTCCTCCATCATTTTTCTGCTCCGTATTTTTCTTTTATCTCTTCTTTAGTTGTACTGAGCCATTCTTCATGATTGTTGTCATTTATTTTTGGACATGAGAGATTATTTCTGGTCTGATTTTTTCCTATAGCCTGATGGACTTTTTTTTTATTTACTTCAGGTGCTATCATTCATTTAGGAGTCTTCAGGTATGTGATTTCCAATTTGTTGTATGTCTTTGTCTCTGGATTTGTTCTTGGTGGGCTAGAGAAATGAGATTGCCTTTTGGTCCTGCATTTCGAAGTTTTGAAACACTTGTTATTCAATCAGAGTCCCATACTGTGCCCAAAGTCCACCTACGTTCTTAAGAGATTGAGCCAGCACCAGCAAAATGTATGCATTTGTGGCTAAGGAAGGTCAGAACTTACCAGAGCTCTGCCGGCTTCGCAGAATCTGCCAGAGTTCTTAAATGGTCTCTAGCAGCTTTTAGAATGTTGTTCTTGTGCTGAATTTTGGAATCTTGATTATTGTATGCCAAGATGTAGTTTTGATTGGGTTATTATTGGGTTGATATTATTTGGAGCTCAATAGGCCTTGACTATCTGAAGGTCAGATTGTTTCCCCAATAGGGAAGTTTTCTTCTATTACACATGCCCATAGTCTTTATGTTCTTTGGGTTAGCTCCTTCTTTCTAATTGACACCTATCAGTCTTATATTGTTCATCTTGGCAACCTCTTGCAGCTGTTGAATTATTATTTCCTTGATCCTTGTCATTTTTATCAGTTTTTCCTTTTACATAACTTGAAGCAATGTTCTCTTCAGGAATGAAAGCCTTTGTTCACTTTCATTCAAACAGTTTTTCTAACCTTTAATGACATTTTTTTAATTTTCTGTGTACCTCGTTGAATCTGCTGTATGCATTCAGTTTCTTCCATATGTTGCTCATTCCTTGTTTTGATTATTTTGCTATTCACCCCTATTTTTATCAATGCCTTCTTTAGTAATGCTTAACAATTCTTTCATTTTATTTATCATTTGTTTTTTACCTGGGAGATTAATTCTGTTTTGATTTCCTCTATGCTCTTCTGTGGTTGTTTCCTTCACTTGCCATTATTCTAGAGATTTCTGGTGTGTGGCTTCAATTCGTTCAATGCTGATATGTTCTGGGTTTGTTCTCTGTGGGCTCGGTGAATGAGGATGCATTGTGGTCCTTCTCTTTTTTTTCTTTTTTTGTTTTGTTGAGAGAACCCTTTATGTAGACTTCCGTTGTACATTTTGTGAAAGCTAGATAGTACGTGGAGCATCACTGCAATGAGAAGCTCTTTGTAAAGCGTCTATCCTTTAGGTATTTTTCCAGTGTCAGAGATTCTTGCTCTGTGTGTGTCCCAAGAAATTGTCTTCTCTATTGATGGAGAGTCAGATGTTGATTTCAGTTTTTCATTGTCCTCTGTCTTTCAGAATATAGCTCTTGTGAGGTTATTATCCAATGGCATCCCAATACCCAAAGCAAGAAAGTGTGGTTAAGGCAGATATGATATGTTATTTACCACAGTACAATGAGCAACACTAATAACAGCTAGTGAAGTTAACAAATTGATAATCTTTTGTAACTAATGGGTTTGTAGATTAGCCCATAGGAGTAAACGTTATTGCTACAAAACAAAGCAGATTGTAAATGAGAACTTTGTTTTTAAGTTAGTTTCCCTGATATCTGTCTTTGCACTTCCCCTTCATATATGTGGAATCTTCCAGGAAGACTCGTTCACTCAAGTCACGCTCTGCCACATCCAAGCCTCCAGGTTCCTCACTGTAGGCCTCAGCCTGGACCACTCTGGGTCTAGCAGTAGGCCTCAGTTCACCAGATATGGTTCTATCAAGCTAAAATTTGATCAGCCAGCCCTGGCTTGTGAAGGGCTGCTGTGCTCTGCTCTTTCCAGCTGCATCCAGCAGCTGAGGACCAGCTCAAGACCTCCATCTTCAGATAATTCAAATCGCATCATTTGATAAGTTTTATTTGACAACAGTTGAAAGTCACCTCTTGACATGATCAGAACTCACAAAATTCAGGACCTTATGGATTTCTGTCAGTCATGGAAATTCAGATGTAGTTATGGGCCAGGCAGAAAATGTAGGTGTGGCTGGGGAAGTTAGTTTCCAGGACGAGTTTTATAACTGATCTCAGTCACAGAATTTCTTTCTGGTCTTAACAAAATAATGTAGCACTTGGGGACAAAGATGCAGCCCAGCAGTCCTGCACTGGAAGCCAAGATGGCAAAGACCTCCATGGCCACCATGGCCTGCCCCTTGCTGCTGTGATACACGGGCAGGAAGGTGACCCACACACTACAGAACACCAGCATGCTGAAGGTCAGGAACTTGGCTTCATTGAATGTGTCAGGCAGGTTCCTGGCCAGGAAAGCCACAGTGAAGCTCGCCAGGGCCAAGGAGCCCAGGTATCCCAGGACACAGTAGAAGGCAAAGAGGGAGCCCTTGTTGCACACGATGACGATGTGTCCATGTTCAGAGTGAGCATCTGTGTCAATGTAGGGTGGATTTATTCCCATCCAGACTGCACATAGAGTGATTTGGATCAGGGAGCAGATGGGGATGATGAAGTTTGGTGCCCCTGACACCAGCAACTGTCTCATCCTTCTGCTTGCAGCAGTGACCTTAAAAGCCAGCACAACAGTAATAGTTTTGGCCAAGACAGTGGAAACAGCCACAGTGAACACACCCCCAAACGTGGTCTGCTGCAGGATGCAGGAGGCTGTGTTGGGACGGCCAATGAAGAGCAAGGAACAGAGGAAACAGCAGGTGAGGGAGATAAGCAGGGTATAGCTGAGAGATCTGTTGTTGGCCTTGACGATGGGAGTGTCTCTGTGCTTCACAAAGAGCCCAAGAACAGCAGCTGTGAGAAGCGTGAGACTCAGGGCAGTGCCAGCCAGAGCTTTGCCCAAAGGACCATCATAGGCCAGAAAATTCACAGCCTTTTGAAGGCAAGCATTTCTCTGGGTACTGGCATACTGATGATGTGGACACTTCACACACTGCTCCATATCTGGCAGAAATTAAAATTGTGATTTGCCTCAATTTATTATCTGTATATTATTTATTTTTACAGACCCAGCCCTTGTACCTCTTTGAATTTGAAGTAAGTTTTGCTCTTAAAGATTTTTCTTTTCTTTCTCTTTCTTTTTCAATATATGGAATTGAACTCAGAAACTTTGCAGTAGGATATGTTCTCAACCCTTTAAAATTTTATTCTTTTGAGTAAGGGTTTCCTGAGGTCATGTTACCTAGGCTGTGTTCCGCCTTATAATCTTTTCAGCTCAGCCTCCCTCCACCCTGGATTCCAGGTATGCATCACCCTTCCTCACTCTTCCAGTTCTCTCTAAACACAGAGTCAAAGATTGGTGTTTATATAGAGATTAATTCTTAAATAATACTTGGTATTGATTCTTTTTTAAAATATGACATATCCATAAAATCATTCTGTCTTTACAAAGTAATAAAGGATCTACTTTAGTGAAGTGAAACAACTTCTTACTTCATTTACTTTATCCAAAAAAATTTATGATTCTCCAGATAATAAACAACAAACAGAATTTGCTAATTCCTAGGAACATACATGCACAGATTCATATTGAATATCAAGTGAATCTATTTTTCATCCTCTCCACCTATCAATGTGCTTTATGCAACAATCTACTTAATTTTTATTGTCAAGGGGATATTTTAAAAGTTTAATTCTGTTGCCTCTGAAAACCATTGCAAGATATATCACTACATACTTAATGATTTTTAAATGTGGTAAAAAGGAATTTTTGAAGTTTTATCTAGGAGTGCCCTATGGCACCGGTGTGAAAATGTTTTGTTTTTTTTTTTCTTTTTTTGCAACAGTCTTATATAACCAGAAAATTCAGTATCATTTTATATATTTACATGGATTTCATGCTTAAATTCTTACATTCTTGGAAAATCCTATCATTCATGTTTCTCCCTCTCTAATATTTTTTGTGGGTGTTTATTTTTTCTTTGCACTGGCCATGATGTAGAGTGTCATATCTGCCAGCAGTGTGATGCAGATATTTCTTAATCTCATTCTTGCTTTCAAACATTGTGCAATGTGCTATAGGATATCATAAATACCATATTTAGTGAGCAGTTAGAAGGTATTCGCTGCTTTCTCATGTGATAAAAATATCTCATAGTTTCTTTGTAAATCACAGAGTTGTTCAAAGTTAATTTGTTGTCTTCATTTATTAGCCTTGATTTTTCTTTCCCAGGATCTTCTCGATTTAATTAAAGTTTGTAAATTGAGTTTGCTCACGGTATACTGACCCTGGAATGAATATA